CCAGCCCAACCCAACCCAACCAACCAAACAACCAACCAACCAACCAACCAACCAACCAAACAACCAAACAACCAAACAACCAAACAACCAAACAACCAAACAACAATAAGCAAGATTATGCAGTTCTGCTCTGTTCTGAAAGGTTGCAGAAATGAGAGTTAATTACAAATTTATCTCTGCCAAATCTCCAGAACTTTGGGGATACGCCTCCCAACGTGATTCTCCAGGGGACTTTACATTCATGGCAAAACTAAGATGCAGTACCATTGACTGTATGCTAGACAGCAAGATCCCCTTGCCAAGAACCTCCAGGCCCTCCCTGAACTGGCTAGTGATCACTTACCTCTTTTGCTTCTCTTGCACCCAACTGGATCCAAAATCCATCTTAAAACCCGGGCTGTGTTTCACATTATCCCCACTGAACCACCAGGATGCTGATCCAGCTGGATGGCCCAATTGGAGCAGAGGAGAAAGAAAGCTCTAGTGGATAGATAATAACTTAATGACTTGTTCTGTATTACCTTTGAGATCAAAGAAGTAACGCCATACGAGATTATCTGCAGACTGCTCATAGCTGGGTTTCTGAACAAGCTCTGCTAAGTTGGGGGGAAGATTGACAGCTTGATCTTCTGCCTGTTTCTGGAATGACCTGATGAAGTCCACTCCACCTTGAGGCTTGAAGGAAAACAGCAAATTAAACTGGGGGCACAATCCTACTGGGAAAAAAGTATACATCATGGTAATCACGCAGGTGGCTGACCCTTTAACTATGACATGGAATGCATGACTGGTTGCATGTGAGTTATAAAATGACACTATTTGCAAAAATGTTGATAGCTCACAAAGGGAGCAACCATTTATGTGATTCCCAACGTAGTATGATTTCCCTTTTTAAAATAACAGCAGCAGCAACAACAAGTGGCCTTTAATGACTACAGGTTAAAAAAACACCCTAGCTTTGAGAAAGACTTCTTTATTGCAAACTAGCATGGAGAAAAACCAGTTTCTTTTACAGGCTTCTTGAGATCATTTTCCATGTAGCTCACAATGCACTCTGGATTAAACAATGAGTGTACACCCAAGAATGAGCTGCGCTAAATCAGGGTTTCCTGATGAACATACATTGATAATAAAATCAAAGTATGGCTTATAAAATGATAATGTGGAATTAGTTTTGCACCGACCTTTAGTGACCTTGCTGCTATATCTTCTGGTGTTAAGAAGAATGTGTCATCCACATCCAGAGTTTGAAGCTCTTCATGGGTTGTGAAAAACAGCAAGAACATGCAATCTTCTGCACCAACATTCTTGATCCAATGCAATGTGTTTCGAGGGAAGAAAATAACCTGGCCTGCAGTAACGTTGTATGTGGTGACCGTATTTCCACCAGCATCGACCACTCCAATCCAAACATTGCCCTGAAAGACGCCAGTGGAAAGACAACTCTACCATTTGTATATTTAGGCTGGTGGGCTGTTTTGCATCATTTGTGCAATGTTGTGGGCTGGTATGTGGCGAAGGAAAAAGAATACAAAACCAACTGGAAAAATCAGCAGTAGCTGAACATGCCCTAAAACAAGCTGGACATGAAATTCTATTTCAAAATACTGAAGTACTGGACAACACCAGCAATCATTATGTTAGACTGCACAGGGAAGCCATTGAAATCCATAAACACCAGCAGAGCTTCAACTAAAAAGAGGAGAGTCTAAAACTTAACAAGGCATGGCTCCCAGCAATGAAAATACAGACTGCAAAAGTTCAACGAACTCTATCCAGCCACAAGGACCAGGGATCATTGCACAAAAAAGACTAGCTAAAGACACCCATCAGTCACAGTGACAGATCATCTCTCCCCCTTATCACAACAATACATCCACAACAAAAGCACGTTGATCACCAGCATCACCCTAGCTCCTGAAAAGGACAAAAGTTATTCCCACAGCTATAAATACTCAACTATCCAACAAACAGCAACAGAGCATGGACAGAGTTCCTACTCCTGTCCTCTGAAGATACCAGCCACAGAGACTGGCGAAACATCAGGAAGAACAACCTTCAGAACATGGCCAAAGAGTCCGAAAAACCTACAACCACCATCAGATCCTGGCCGTGAAAACCTTCGAGAATACAATACAAAATTTGTTAGATATTAACAGTATTCTGTACTACCATTTCTACTTCAGTGCAATGTACTGAATGTATTAAGAATATGAAACCAAACAACATGAATCTGAGAGCGATATAGCTTGTCATTAGAAGCTGAGATCCAGCAGGTCTTCACGATTGAGCAATTGGACTTGCAAACAAAGCCTGTGATGAGAAGCAGAAGACCAAGCATAAAACAAAGCAAACTAATTTGCGAACTATGTGAAGTATAAAGAGCTCTTCCTATGGCAAGGTCTTCCAGCATTTAAGGAACTCCTTCTGAAGGGTTATCTACAGCAGAAGGAGTCTTGTGGTGCAGTAGTTAAACTGCAGCACTGCGGTAAAGACACTGCTCACCACCTGAGTTGATCCCTGGCTTAGGTAGCCAGCTCAAGGTTGACTCAACCATCCATCATTCCAAAATTGGTAAACTGAGTACCCAGCTTGCTGGGTTGGCAATGGGTAGCCTGATAGTTAAACTGTAAGTTGTCCAAAGATTGATTTAAGCACTAGGGGGTGATACATAAGCAGCACACTTAGTATATACTCTGTAGTATATAGTTTGATCTAAGTGATCAGGACCCAGGACTACATCTTCCCCTTAATCATTCCATAACAACAACAAAAAAAATTCTTCCGTATCCCTCAGTCTTCCTTTTCTCCTCCTCCTTGCAGCTCACCATCTTTTCATCTTCTGTCTTTAATTCCTCTGGTCGTATTAGAAGTCTTCTCTAGACTCCAGGTAGAAATAAGGACACAGTGAAGGAGAAAAGGAAGAATGAGGGATAGAGGGATTTCCACGTGTCATGTTATAAATCTACACTAGACATGGAAATATCTATGGCAGGTTGTGGATTTTTATGTGCATAGAGTGTTAAAACAATGAAGTGTGGGCATGGAAAAATAGCCCTGAAAATAAAGGTGCTTTTTAAATTGGGGAGTGAGCAGCAATTTGCTAAAATCACTGCAAAACAATTAGCCAGGTCTCCAAACAAGCAAGGTCATTGTACCATAACATTCCTGACAGTTGAGCGTGTTTTACAAAGAATAACAAAGTGTAAAAAAGAGAGAATTGAAAGTGCATTGAAATAGTTGAACGTATGTCTGTCTGTAGCAATGTGCTCCAGGTAGAAATAAGGACACAGTGAAGGAGAAAAGGAAGAATGAGGGATAGAGGGATTTCCACGTGTCATGTTATAAATCTACACTAGACATGGAAATATCTATGGCAGGTTGTGGATTTTATGTGCATAGAGTGTTAAAACAATGAAGTGTGGGCATGGAAAAATAGCCCTGAAAATAAAGGTGCTTTTTAAATTGGGGAGTGAGCAGCAATTTGCTAAAATCACTGCAAAACAATTAGCCAGCTCTCCAAACAAGCAAGGTCATTGTATCATAACATCCCTGATAGTTGAGCGTGTTTTACAAAAGATAACAAAGTGTAAAAAGAGAGAGAGAGAGAATTGAAAGCGCATTGAAATACAGTCGAACGTACGTCTGTCTGTAGCAATGTGTTGATATGCCCAGAGATACATAGCGTTTGCAGGTCTTATAACTTGCACCCTTTGTAGTTGCAATACTCTTCTTGTACAGGACCTTGAATACCAGATCTTTTATGTTACAGGCCTTTATTCCTCCAGGCTTTGCAAATTTTAGTCACAACAATGATATTTATCATCACAATGACAGCTTGCCAGATGCTATGCTACAAGACCTTGTAATTATAGAAAGTGCAGGGACAATAGAGACTCCCACTAAAAATTTTTTCCTTGGTGCATCAGATCCCTATAACTTGCAGGCCCTGGAAAAGAGATTGTTGATAGATCCTGAATAGGTGTGGACATCTCAGGGAAAAGTAACTATAGCAGAGAGGAGACACACGAAGCAGTATTCAACTCATCAACACAAGAAGACAACATGCTATACCACATACCATGGATACCAACAACAATCATGTAGCAGAAACAGCAACAGCTGATGAGGCCAACAGGGATTTTCCTCCATAGACTGAAACTGGCTTGGTTGGTTGAGTACTGAGAATAAAAATTGAGGGGCGTATTTTACATGGAAGTAAGCTGAGATAGCTAAGGAGAGAACAAAACGGCCCATACCTTCACTCTGTCAACAGGCTTCCTTCAATCATGAGGCTTAGCTTCCTACAGTCAGGATACTTAGCTTCCTCCCATCAGATCCCTATAACTTGCAGGCCCTGGAAAAGAGGTTGTTGATAGATCCTGATTGGAACACACCTCATTGGAGGTGGAGCCCGTAGGCTCAAGATACTCATTGGAGGTGGAGCCTGTAGGCTCAAGATACAACAGTGACTCAAAATGTCCGACTGTTCTGAGCTCAGAGGCTGAATCCTCAAAGCTAAGTTTTCTTAATTTTGGGGTTAGAAAAGTGGGTGTTGGGTGTCTTATAAATGGGGGGTGTTATAAATGGAAAAATATGGTAACCAAAACAGTACCTTTAGGAGGTAGCCATGTTCATTAGTGGAGCCTGTAGGCTCAAGATACAACAGTGACTCAAAATGTCCGACTGTTCTGAGCTCAGAGGCTGAATCCTCAAAGCTAAGTTTTCTTAATTTTGGGGTTAGAAAAGTGGGTGTTGGGTGTCTTATAAATGGGGGGTGTTATAAATGGAAAAATATGGTAACCAAAACAGTACCTTTAGGAGGTAGCCATGTTCATTAGCATTGAAATGCCAGTGTGGAGCACGCAACCCTTTGCTCTTGATGTTTAGAGTCCCGAACATCATTTTGGACCGTTGACTGTTGATACTTCTTCCAAACTCCATCTCTTCCTCATTCTGATATTCCTTGGCGTTCTTCCGAAACCTTGCCCATTGAATAGTCCCACCGGGGAATTCATGTCTCTGGAACACCATACAAACATGGGAACATTAGTTAATTTTAAGTACTATGTAAACACTGAAGCTCACAGATCCCCATATCGAAAAAAAGAGTGCCAACTTTTGATTTCAAGAACCCTATGCTTGAGCTCAAGCAAGGGAATTAGAGCAGAATCACCACTGGGTTCCTAGAAGCAGATCCCCATATCGAAAAAAAGAGTGCCAGCTTTGTGCGTGAGCTCTGTGCGTGAGCTCAAGCAAGGGAACTAGAGCAGAATCACCACTGGGTTCCGAGAAGGAATTTATCACACACACACACACACACACACATCCCAGGAGGGATCAAAAGTAGGAAAGATGGATCTAACCAGACAAGGAGATATTCACATATTTAGAACAGGTGTTGCCTCAAGTAGTGAAAGAAGGCTGTTTGTCATAGCACACCATTGTCCGCAACTATATATCTTATGTCTAGTGCCTTTGTTTTGTGATTGGTCACTGGAAAGTCAACACAGACTTAATTTACAAATCTTATTGCTGAAACATATATGTATCTGTGGCAAACCCTGTTGGGAAAGAGAAATTGGGGAATACACATTCCTTCTATCGTCTGCGTTGAGACTAATAAGTGCACATATTGCTATGTGTGCAGAAACATTTAATATGCATGTGTGTGTCTTACATTCAGATATTGGCAGGAGTTGGGGGTATGAAGAAGATCACATCCACAGTAATGTTCACATGTGTAGTTAGATAATTAGAGTACCTGTCTATCCAACAGGAAAAGGGACAGCTAGCTTTTGCAGAATCTTGAAGTCATCATTGGCAGAAGGTTTTTGAAATTAAGCCAAGGAGCATGTAAGATCTGGCCAAGAACTACATTCAGCACTTGTGCTGCAGGTGGTCCACCCCATCACATCTATGTAACAATGTGTCATAGAATTACTGACTAATAAGACACCAGCTATTCTTCATTTAATTCTTTAACAACTTTCTCTTCTTCCATACATCTGAACTAGAATTGCAACTGGAAATTCATTTGGAGTTTGGCAAGTAGTTAGAAAATATTAAAGGAAGATCATGAATAGACCAAGCATGGACCTAGTCCAAAATCAAGTGCTAGAAGGTTAACCCTGGGATTCCAAATGGAAAAGCTCACAGTGGCTTGAGATCTGTGAAATGGTTTGCAGAGATGATAACTTGAGATCTGTGAAATGGTTTGCAGAAACAGTGCTCAATTCCACAGTTTTGTTGCAATAAAGCATTGCATATAGACCATTGCAGCACTGCACCCAGGCAAGTGCCTTAAACCAGCTCAGAGTTGCACACTCAGTACGACTCAGGATCACAGCCTGTACAATAGAACTCATTATCTTTGAATACAATGGACTCAAGCAGTCGGAAAACTGGTCCCGTGCAAAGCAATATTGAAGAATAGGTAAATTTCCACCTTTGATTTGGTGAGATGATGGAGAAACTGGAATTTTGGGTCCACTTGGGGTTTGTATGGAGATATCCTTGGAGTTTTCTGGGGATCTGTGTCACGCTTTTGTGCACTCCCTTCATTATTTGATTGGGGCTGGAAGCCCGTTTTATTGGCACAGACCAGGGACACAATCAGCACTCCCAGTACTGTGGTTATCGTGGAGGCCAAGAGGCAAATCAGAAAGACATTAAGCATGGACCAGTGACTCTTTTTCTCCACCTATAAGGAAAAACGCAAAAAAGAAAGAATTAGTAGCCTCTGCAGAACTGTCAAACAAACAAACAAACAAACAACTGAACAAACCTGAAAAACAATACTGAGTCAGCCCTGTTATATACACCGACCAGTGACTCTTTTTCTCCACCTATAAGTAAAAACGCAAAAAAGAAAGAATTAGCACCCTCTGCAGAACTGTCAAACCTGAAAAAACAATACTGAGTCAGCCGTTATATACACTGTTCAGTACCTTAGGAGGGAAGAAATGAGTTTACAGCAAAAAGTGAATGTTGAAACTCTACTCTAAGGACATTCAGACCTACTCTTCATGGAAAAGGTGGGCACATGGGTGTACCCTTCTCTTGTACCTTAACTTCCACCCTATGTGACTGTTACACTCTTTCTGTAAGATTTCAGAAGATGGCAGGAATGAGAGGCAGAACTGCTGCATCCATGGAAAACAGCTATAATGAGAAGGTTGCCAAGAAAAAAGGGAAATCTCTACCCTTGATCAGGAAGATAGCATGGATATACTTTTGGCACTCCAGATATTTTGGACTATTTTCTCATTGGCCATACAGGCTGGAGATTCTAGGAGCTGTAATTCAAAACAGTTGGGGTGGCCAAAGTGGCAAATTTCCTCTGGCATGAACAAAACCTTTTTTTTTTACTGTCTTGTGACAAGGAAGATTTGTGTGTGTGTGTGTGTGTGTGTGTGTGTGTGTGTGTGTGTGTGTGTGTGTGTGTTTGTGTGTGTGTGTGTGTGTGTGTACACGTGTGTGTGTGTGTGTCTACACCCTCCAAAAAGTGGACACAATTGACCTCTTTGCAGAAAAGTTGTATCTGTTCATTATTTACACTTACAAGTATTTGTTATCAAGTCAGCATGTCTTCCATTTAACAAAACCTATTCTGATCACTTTTAATGCAGTGCTTTAACGCTGTAGTGTAGTAGAAACATCAACTTGCTTTATTTATATGACCCCATATCTCTCTCCTATTTAACGCATTTTATTGGACAATTTAAGCAGGTTCTTAATTGTCATTATTGTTCCCATGGTTGTTTTTCTCCTTTGTGCTCTATTTTTTGTAGTTAAAAATGTCTAAAAATGCAACTTACAGGACATTCTTGTTTTATCCTCTCCGTTTGGGCTCTGGACGTTTGAGGTGTTTCTTCGTGTAGTTCATATCCTGTGTTGTCCATTGCAAGCAGAATTTTGTAAATACCCAAAGTGAAAGCCGAAGTTTTGGTGGATTTCTAACTGATACTTTCAATAACTGAAGGAAGTGAGTGGTTTTCTTAGAGGACATGCATAGGAACAGAAAGTCTCCATAAGTCTGCAGGAATACGTTGCAACCCAGGATATCCCGTTTCTTAATCAAAAGTGTTTCTGTATCAGGAAAAGATCTCATAATGGTGACCTATGCATATTTCAGCTATAAAATCATTCAACTGATTGGCCTCCTTCAGACTAAGCAATTTTTTAGAAGAGTCTGTTTATCAAGGGACCTCAGAGCTATATGTTACTGTAAGTGGCAGAGCTTGTCCCAAGGCCAGCTTCAGACATGTCCATGTAGAGCTGAGAATTCAGAGTAGACCAGAGGAAGTCAACATGCACTCAACCCTTATCTCCAATTTTTCATTTGTTTAAATGCTTTCTTTGGGCATAGGGAGTTTTTTTTTCCAGTTAATGGCAGCCTCTTCATTTTCTTTTCATTTTTTCCAGTGTTAGTTTATGCACCACTCAAAGTAGAAAGATGCCTCATCAAAGTACTAGGGCAGCACAGAAACGGTTTTCTATCATGCACCCTTCTGTATGTATTGTGACCCTTTGTGCTCTATTTTTTGTAGTTCAATGTTTTGACTTTCAGAAGGCCAGCAATGCCTTAGAGCATCTTTCCCCAACTTGGTGCTCCCCAGATGTTCCTGATGATCTCCCAGCACTGTTACTCCTCAACCATGATGCACAGAAATAGGTTTTCAAGTCCAAAACACATGAAAGGTACCCAAGCTGAGAAAGGCTGCTTCAAAGATACTTTCCCCCGTTCTTCACTTGTCAACTGTCTCTTTATTACAAAGCCAATTTCCAGTTTAGAGGATTGAATGCATTCCGGAATGGAAACCAAATATAATTTCAAATATTGGGAAAGAAGTGTTAAGGAGTATATTTGACTATTAAATGACCTTTAAAGAGATCAGTTAAAGGTTTAATTTATTAATGAGTGACTGAAAATGTTAATTGAGAAAGATGCAAATTAAGGGCATGCTTATTTTTGAGCCCTTATTCATCCTGGCATTCCTTTAATTCATAATAGAGTTTTTCTTGACGAAATTGCAGACCATTTCAAAACTAAGTTGAAAATCAAGTAACATGCCAGTTAAACTGAACCAGTTCATGTGTAAATGGTTTTTGTTTTCAAACAGTTGATCAACTGGAAATTCTTGAATTGGCTGAAAGCCCTACTTTGAAACAAAACAAAATGATTAAGAAAGAAAAACAAAAGCTCTATGTACAGTCAAAAACCCTGTATATAGCTATCCTAGGGCAAGAATGACTTTTGAATGACTAGGCAATGCTGTACAAAGACCAAAGTGGATGCTATTTTTCTGCAGACCCATTACAATTCAAGTTACTCTGTACAAGCAGTGGACAATTATTTAGAGTTAGCTTGCTGCAACTGCCCTTTCCCACCCAGAGAGAAAACCTATGCAGTGTATGAAAGTACAACCCATAAATCCTGGTGAATCAATAATGGAAAATGAATCTCATTATTTCTGCTTACCCAAACTATGGGTGTGTTGTACAATTGTTTGCTCTTTACAGAAGACATGGAAGAACAGTCACACATCACCTAGGCTGACAGGTTGTTTACCTTCTCAATTTGAGCCGGTTCTGAGTCACACATCACCTAGGCTGACAGGTTGTTTACCTTCTTCTCAATTTGAGCTGTTTCTATTCCAGCTGTCCATATATGAAAAATTGCATCACTTGGCCAGTGGCCAGAATTCAGGTGAATGTCCTTAAATTGCATCCTTCTCTATTAACATTTTTCTGTCACCCAATTAATTAATTAATCAAGCTTTTAATTGATTACGTTTCTTCTTGCACCTAGGCTGACAGGTTGTTTACCTTCTTCTCAATTTGAGCTGTTTCTATTCCAGCTGTCCATATATGAAAAATTGCATCACTTGGCCAGTGGCCAGAATTCAGGTGAATGTCCTTAAATTGCATCCTTCTCTATTAACATTTTTCTGTCACCCAATTAATTAATTAATCAAGCTTTTAATTGATTACGTTTCTTCTTGTAAGACTATTCACTAGCTTAAATTGCATCCTTCTCTATTAACATTTTTTGCCACCCAATTAATTAATTAATCAAGCCTTTAATTGATTACATTTTTTCTTGTAAGACTACTCACTAGCCAGTGTGGTGTCTCATAAGAAAGGGATGCAAAATATATTCCTTAATACAGTACTTAAATAAGTCTGCATAAGTGGTTTGGTTTAACTTTGAGTGGCAAGCACCCACATTTAGAATCCCCAATCAAACTCCTAGTCATGTGCCAAGTCATGCAACAAGCACACGACTAGGTATTCAGTTGGGCACTAGTTAATTAGCAGCTGTTCATTGTGCAGAGTTACACCAATACACATCTACAGGCATAAATATTCACTTGGAGTCAGACCAGTGCTTGAGTACATTTTTCTTCTCCCCCCTCATTCCTTTTTCCATCTTTCCATTGTAGACCTACAACCATGGACAGCCTTGTTTCTATTCTTCTTATGAAAGCTAGTTGGGGAACCCTTTCTTTTTGGCTGGAAAAGGGTTAAATGTTTTCAAAAGATAATACAATTGCACTGGCTATGAAAAATAAATCAAAGGGGACTCATTTTATATCATATAATGGATTCTGTTGATGTACCTTCACCCTTCATCTTATTTTCTGTTGGCTCCGATCAACAGTTCTTTAGTTGAACCATCTGCATTTTCCTCAGTGGTCAATGGAGAACTGAATATGAGAGGATGAAAGCAATTGTTTTCCCTTGCTCTTTGTCACCTCTTTCTATTCATTAGAACCTTAAATATTTATTTATTGTTTTTAAATTTGTAAACCGCCCAGAGTAGACCTTTGGTCTAGATGGGCGGGATAGAAATCCAATAAATAAATAAATAAATAAATAGGACACTACATATAAACAACTGCCTTGGCAGGCATTTCTAAACATGAATCAAGTTATGGATCACAGTAAGTTTTGAATGAGCATCTTGCTTGTGGTATGTATAGCAAAGAATAAAAAACAAGTGTTGTGACATCTAAAAACTAATTTATGTCAGTGCAAACCCACTCCACCTTCTCAGAAATAATTGTTTCAGGATATGGGTTCTGATCCATGAAAACCCACGCTGAAATAAATTGGTTAATCTCTGAAGTGCCACAACTCTTCCATTTTTATATATTTAGAAATATAGTAACACAACTACCTTGCTGAATTTTGCTTACAGTGGAGTGTTTCCTCCACTGCAGCCGGCCTTACATTTGAAACAATGCATTAAATACTATTTCGGTGGTGGACAGATGATCTTTAGGGACTATGCATTTGCAAATTAAGTGCACCAAGGAATAAGGTTCTTGGTTGCACTTTGGCATTACAGGCAAGCAATTACACCAATTTCCAAGTTTTCAGGGAATATTTATTGGCCAAAATCCTGTGGCTTAGCATAGTAAATCATACTATAGGCTCACTGAATCAATGAGCATTTGGTGAGTCAATTTCTTTGTAAATTCCATTGATTCAAATGAGCTTACACTTTGTTTAGTCGTTAAGTCGTGTAAGACTCTTTGTGACCCCATGGACCAGAGCACGCCAGGCCCTCCTGTCTTCGACTGCCTCCCGGAGTTGGGTGCTACACTAACTGTGCCTTATTTTAGCAAAGCAAGTCACAACTAGAGTAGGCTCATTTGAATATGGTACTCACAGAAGTTCCAGAAGTCCACTGCTCAATGGGCCTACTCTCATGTGACTTACCGTACTATACTAAGCAACAGGATTTTGGCCGTTATGTAGAAAGCCACCTTTTAGTTACATTCCCAAACACGGCATGTGAACGATGGCACCAAGAGAGGCAACAAATGAGAAACAAAAAGTTCTTTATTCCATGGGCCAGATGCTAGAGAATATTATAGTTCAATACAGACTGAATTGTACATGCCCAGCAGGCCAAATTCACCAAAATTCTTAAATTCATAAAGATCTACAGTTAGATTCACTTCACCAACTCCAGAGTGCTAACAGTAGTCTTGGGCCTTTGAAATGGTGTAGAAATAACACTTGTGTTAAGGAGATTTAGTTAAGGTCCTGAAAAACCTTTCATAAAATCCTCACAACAGAAACATATTCAAATATGAAACTAATTACTATCTAAAAGACTTTACTTTTCAGATGTATTAAGAAATGCCATGAAGACTGCAAATATCCAAAGCTCCAGCCTATGGTTTGATTTCAACACATCAGACTTCCATTTCTGAAGAAATGAAGAGTGACAAATTGCAAAAGCTGAAAGGACATCAAACCCTCCAGTAAAAAGGTGTGCCTCAATGCTAGTTGAAATTTATGTGAGTTATTTTAAGCCCAGCTCTTTCAACACCCATGTACCTACAGAAAGGTTTTAGGAGTGTTACACTGTTTCTCATGTGTGGCAGTAGTAGCTCCTCCAATACTGTGTGTCTGTAGGGAAGACGATCCAGTTATGAGCTTAACATGTGGTTGACTGATTATCACAACTGCCCTTAAAGGACAGGCAGAGGCATGTGATTCAGCCTCTATACTGAAATACATCTGAATTATATTCACACCCTTTCAGATCAAAGAGGTGACTTGAGCCACAAAATAGGATCATAGCACGCAGAGTTTCAAAAACATGGGCTAGGGGTCTGCAGTGGCATGCTTCACTCTTAAGCAATACTTCCTTATAAACGCTTGAGATTCCACTAAGGTCCTAAGAACATGATTAAAATTGCTTTTGAGGAAGCATGCAGAAAACTGTGCTGAAAGATGGATTAGCCTGATTATTCCCAAAAATACCAATTCTCAATTTATTTTTAAAGGAACTTCCAGAAACAAATGAACTGATGGTACTCCATCATGAGGAATTAGTGTGTAGTCTACGACATTTCTATAAGCATATTTAGAATTTTCATCTCATTTAATAATAACATTAGAGAAGAAATAATGAATGTATTTTTAGCTGTTCCTGTTTTCAAGACATTTGGAAATTGCTTTTGTATCGAAACTGCTGGGTTCCAATGTACCCTTTCCAAATGATCTGCAGCACAGTGCTTCTAGGCAACAAATATCAGATATCACAGTTTGACTCTCCCGTCTTCCCAGAGAACTGTGAGTTGCTATCCTATGCAGCTCCAGTATGTTTCTCCTATGATGAAATTCAATTCTGTGATACCGGCAGGGATTTGAAGGGGAAAAAGACACTGACTAAATTCAGAGAAAACAGTATCACTATTTCCAGCACTGACAAATTCACCAGGTGTATAAATGTAGATCAACTTCCAGAGGCTTGAGGGCAGCACATGCTTCTGTTCCTTGCCTGTCCCGAAAACGTTTTCTTTGAAAAAGACTTTAACTGAAAAAGCTCCTTCATGCCCTCTAGTGGCAAAGGTATGCATACATTTCTTATTTTATTTTGATTATTAATTTCTTTGGAGATCTACGTGGGTGCTGTGGGGACCCAGGGGTGGGGTATCACATCTGAGATCCTGGAGGCTGTCTGTAACCTGCATTTTGCCTAGATCAATGGTTCCCAACCTTGGGTCTTCAGATGCTCTTGGACCAAAACTCTCGGAAATCCTCATCACTTGCTGTGTTGGCTAAGACGTCTGAACGCTGCAGTCCAAGACGACTTCGGGACCCAAAGTTGGGAAGTACATGCATCCTTATATTATCAATACCAGACTGGCTCACAAAAATTAAGTTCTGCAATAATACTGGAGATACTTTCATTTGCTGGCTGATTTTCTATATCTGTCCCCAAAGGATGAATTCGGAGACTCTGAACCAAGTTCCCTATTGCCAGGACTATTAAAGAATCATGAAACTAGCTCCATAAACCCAAGGGAAGACTTTAGATTTGTTTCTTCCTGGGCAGCAGCCACCTATATGATGCATGGCATGGAAACGAACTGTGGCAGTTGTCTGTAGTTCAGCATAAAAGACCATGGTTATTTAAGGGTGCTGGGGGAGTGGGATGACCCCAAAGTGCCATGGGGTGAGTGCAAGCCTTTTCAATGGCCTTATGTAGCTCTTAAAATGAAGTGGAGCATCCATCTCTTTTGACTTTGGCGAGCCAGAGAGCTACATATGCACACCAATTTGGTTTATTTATGCAAACCCTCATGAGTTCTTGAAATATTGTGACTTTTTAAAAAGATACTTATGTGTGGCCAGATTACATGGACAGTGCCTTGAGAACTTCACCCGCTGTACTCAATAACAGACGAGACACTACATTTATCCAGTACATATATCCTTTCTGTCTTGATATTCTTTCGATTCTTCTTTGTCATCTGTATCTTCAACCAGACATTTAAGTCGAGATAAATGATGTAAAGCCCTATAACAAAAACATGGAAAAAAGACTGTATAGTTCATTATATGAGCATATAGGAGAAGCAAGGTTTAACTGACAAGCTAGTGATACCAACACAAATTCAGCTTCAGACTGCCAGCGATTCTTTCTACAGCACAATCAGCACTCCTTTGGGTAATTCTTAATGCAGAGTCAGAATACTCATTATGCTGTCCAACCTCCAGTGAGAGAGGAACAAGAATGAATAAGAACATAAGAGTTCGTCCCTTTACATGATTTTTGGGCATTTCATTTTTTTGCTAGAAAGCGAAGGTTTCATTTTAGATAAAATTACTGATGGCAAAGATGTAAATTTCCTTTGCTAACATTTTGTATCTCTGTATACTTGTTATTCATGAGATACATCACAGCATAGCAGATCTGCTTCATAATACATGTGTCTGAACAGGGCTTTAAGGGCATAAAACATCAGCCTCAAATATCTATCTAGTCCAGCATTCTGATTCTTGGCATGCCAACCTGGTGCTTCTAAGAAGTCTATAAGTAGGTCATGAGGTACCTCAATTGGAATCTACCAAATCCTAATCTCTTTCTTTTCATAACCGATGGAGAAAAGTAAGATTGTACACATGGATGACATTCACAAACAATCTAACTTTCAACAGATATCAGATACCATGTTAATTTTTGGTTTACCCTAAGATAAAGACTGAGAATCAAAAATCTGTGTTAATTTACAACATAGTCCAGAACAAAGAAAAGCTGGATTTAAGGCGATACAGCCCTCACTTATATTCTATTATTACCACCACCACCACCACCCCCGTAGAACAGCCAGGGGTGGGAAGTAACATATGAGCCAGTGCATCTGCACCCAAAACGCTATTCTGAGAATCCCCATTCACATTATTTTTCTTACTCCAAAAAAGGATGGCAATGTGATGAGAAAATCAGGCAAACAGGGCTCTGGTGTGGACGATCTATTCTAGCCAAACTGGTGTAGAGATCCTGTTCTGAGAACAAAAGTATGCTTACCTCTGAAGGGATTGTCTTATAGGCATCATATCACTATCGCACAGTTTCAATTCCCCATCTTCATCTAAAGTCTGAAATAGAAGTAGAATTTACTCAGAAGCACTGCTCAAGAGCACATACTTTTATTTCTGTTCTTCCCCTTTCTCCCTTGGCAATTAAGGAGATAAAAATTTCAAAGTCACTCAAGTTTCCTATATGCATGGCTGTTTCAATAGAATACAGCTTCTCATTCATTCAAATCAGATTCAAACTTAATTAATGTCAAACTTAATTTTCAAACTTAATTTATAGCCAAAATCCTTTTGCATAAAGTTACCCCTGCACAAGCTGACAATATTATCACCTGTGGGTTTTTGCCACTCATTAAGCTTCCCATTACTCCTCCCCAGGTTCTGATGCTCTCTAAGGATCCCTTTTGAGCTGGAGAAACTTTTGAGAGTTCCAAGGTAGGTGGGTGGGGGCTTTGATGCCTCCAAAACTGCTGCTGACAGGCCAGATTCCATCAGCAGCGACGTTTGGACATTAAAGGCTTCCCCCTCATTGCAATGCTCCCAAAGGCTTCCTTAGGTCAAAAGGGATCGCCAAAAAAATCTCAGAACCTGACAGAAGGCTGGAGTAGGAAATGTCTAATGCGTGATAAAAAGTCACGGCTGATAAATTCATCATCTTGTGTGGAGGTAACTTTACACAAGAGGATTTTGGCCTAAGCGTATAGGCCTGGCCTCCTAAGAAAAGACCAACATATTTGCAGTAAATATAGGAGAAAGGTACACACATTTTATTTTGGGTTTGTTGTTGTTTTCTCCCCTTCCCCTTCCAGTTTTTATAATGTTTGTTTTTAATGCTGCAAGCTGCTTTGGGTCATCTTGAGGAGAAAGGCAAGGGTATACATATTTTAAATAAAAAAATATACAATGTAGAGTCACTGTTGCTACAGTTGGGCATAGATTGTTTAAAGAGTGTGAAGTTTTCAGCCATGAAGGTGACATTAAAAACTGTGTGGTAGAGTAAAAAGGTAAAGGTTCCCCTTGACAATTTGTCCA